TTTTTTTTTTTGATCGATTGGGAATGGATCATACTGAGGGTCGAAAAATGTTTGGACCCATTTGCCTTTAAGGATTCCATCGCAAAACACGATGGTTATACTTGTCTTATTCGATTAAAAAGAGGTTTATCCTTTAGACAGAACGTTTCACTCCTCCACTTTTTGGAAGGTTCACATCAATAATTTGCCAAGCTAGTGCCTACTAGTAGGAGGTATTACTTTCCAAAGTTAAATATTTTTCCGTGTCGGCATCAGAATGAGATGTCAACTGTGGAAATTTGGACCTATTGAGAATCAGCTTGCCTTTTAATGACACTGCTTCACGATTCAAAGTAATTCTCTTTTATTGCAGAAATTGTATTGCGTCGATTATTGAAGTCAGTAATGATGCGTTTATCACTACAAATTAGCAGGCTGGGACGTTGAAGAAAGTAATCGTCGATGCGTCGTCGTCGTCGATCCACAAGAAGAGACAGTGAAATTCGTTTGATGATGATGATGAACATGCTTGTGATACAATCGAATATTATTCTTTATTTTGTTTCTTCTTTTGTTTTCTCAATTCTTTCTTGAATTTCATAAATGAATCCATGAGAGAGTCAGCAATGTCCTTCTCTAATTCATCAAATAAATGAGCATCCATGGATGAATTCTCCATTATTGAGAATTCATCGAGCTTTTTCTTGATATTTTCTTGAAATTGTAATGAGGTTGGAAATGGATGTTCACCATTCACATCAATAAATTCTGTGAAAATCTTAAATGCCATTTCATACTTGTTCTTTTCAATTCTTAATTGTTCTTGATTAGATTCATCTCCAATACGATTCAATGGTAATGTACCTCTCAATTCCATGGACTTGTCACACATTTCACGATAAGTATGACAATTCTCCAAGAAGGTATACTTGTCTAACTTGTTCTCTTTTTCACAAAATTCCTTAAACAATTGACTAGTCTTTTCATTTCTCAATGTTTCAAGAATCATGAGAGAAGTTGCTTTCAATAGCTTACGAGTAGATGTTTGTTCACTTGTAAGAGCCATCACAAAGATACTAATGACAATAGGAACAGAGATTACAACTCCACTCAACACCAACACCATATTCACAGTACTCGAATATTTTAAATATTCTTGTTTTTGTGAACTGAGTGTCTTAATCTCATTGGTCACAAATTCTATAAAGTGAGAGGCATAACTCTCCATTACGATATACGTGATAGATTTCAATAATTTGTTAGCAGTCTTCAAATCACCCTGTCGAACTGCTTCAATCACTTGTTGATCAAACTTGACATTGTAAGGATTTTTAGGATCGAATTTTGTTTTTTGATTGACATCAGAAGGTAAATGTTTAGACAATTCCAATAAAACACGAGAGGTATTCGCTTGTGATTCATAATACAAGGATACATAAGAGAGTGATCCAGTGACTGCTGCCAAGTTGACAATACATGACGTACGATCATAGAGTTCAATAAAACGTGCACGTTGCAATAGTAAAGAAATTTCTCTTTTCGCTTCGAGTCGAAAAGAATTTCCCACCACCACAGCCACTGCAATGAAACAACAAATATTGATCATCATACCTAACAGAGAGAGAACTCGAATGAGATTCAATTCAATCACTCCACAACAAGTTGGAATTCTAAATATTGTCGAAGAGTGAGTAGTGGAACGAGTGGAAGTCTTGGATGTTGTTTTAGTGAAAACAGTCACTGTTGCTTGAGGATGTTTGAGTGTGAGTGTTGTTGGTGTGAGTGTTGGTTCAGCATGAATGGGTGTCATGGTCATGGCGATGGGTGGTGGTGGTGGTGGTGTTGAACGACAAAGACTCAAAGATTTCTCTCTTCTTCGATCCATTTCCTGCTCGTGTTGTTGGAGTGATGAAAGTTGAAGAGGTTTTATGGAATTTATGCGTTTTGTTTTGAAATGAACAATGATACTATCGTCATCACTGCAAGCATCATTGTCATCATTATTGTCTCGAGGAGGAGTCATGACATGAGAAATGTCAATGGGTTGAGAGGGTTGTTGAGGAAAAGAGGTGATGGTAGTAGTAGTTGTTGTTGTCAACACTGTCAGGGTGTTGTTACCATCATTTGGTGAGGGTAGTGGATCTTGCATCTTGTGTTTTGTTTTGAAAAGAATGATGATGAAGAGACTGGTGCACCATGCATTTCACCCATGTCATTAGTGTGTCGGTCTCGTTGCTGAAAAGTCAAGTACTTCCATGATTGAACCAAAAATAGAGGAAAATTACAGATGACTAAAAAGGATATTGTATTGAGAGCGATGGTGAGGATGATCTCATGATTTCTTCTTGTTGTTGAGTTCACAATCTTCATGGACTTGTCCAAATCAGCAAGTGTCTCACACCATATTGCGTAATATGTGGCGAATTAGTAGCTTTTGAAAACGCTTCCTCCTCGTCCTCTTCTATGCGATGATTGGTGGATGGGAGTGCTTTTGTTGTGTCCTTTGCCAATTCACTCTCTTTTGAATGACTCTCTTGAGTTTCTTCAATACTATTTAAATCCCAATAATGAGGTGGTGTTGGTGGAGCAGTGGAAACTAACAACGGAGGAGATGTATTGAATGGAAGTGATGATGGTGGTTGTTTGGAAAGAGATTTTGAAGAAAAGCTCCCTGAAGAATCTGTTGGTGTGGTTGTTGTCCATATTGTTGATGATTTGTGTGTCGAGTGGTGATGGTGGTGGTGATGATGATGGTGACTACTTGTAGTATTCTTATGTCTGGCACATTCTCTGATAATTCTATTTTTTCGTTTCTCATCATTGGGAAAAGCAGCATCATAGAATGCTCGACATTCTTCACAATCATGTCCTGGTGTTGCATGTCTCTTTTTGTGTTTTGGAGATTTGAAATATTTTGAATATTCTTCTTCGTCTTCACTATTGAGGTGAGAAGATGTCATTAGAGGAGAAGCAATTGCTTGCTTGGATCCAGTTGGTGTGTTCTTTTCATGACTGCTGCTTGTACAAGTTGGTTTGTTGGAATGAACTCTCATGGTTGTTAAATTTGTATAATTTGGAGGTGAAGAAGAAGCTCCAACCTTTGATGCAGAGTTTGAGGCATGAACTCTATTGTTCAATGAAGGAGATGGAACAGTTGTATTTGGTTGTTGTTCTTTTTCTTCTTGTTTCATTTTCTTATTACCTCCAAGTCCTAGAGACATGTACAAAATGTCATCTCCAACTAGAGAATGTCCTCCATCCTCTACTAAATCCACAACCAATGGTGGTCGATGGAGGGTGGGTGATTTTTCAATCGTAATGTCTTGTTCATTCTCTTGATGTTCTTCTTCTTCTCGATGAACAGAAAGTGGTTGTGTGGGTTTTGGCAACACTAAATACTCTTCATCTTTGTATCGATTTTTCAAGTGTTGTTTCTTTTGCTTTTCAATTTCTTGCTTCTTTTTCATTTGAATAACATCTTTTTTTGTCGTTGATGAAGTGTGTTTCTTTAAAGTTGCATCTTCAAAGACTTCCTCCTTCGAAGGATGACGAGTATCATCATCCTTAATATATTGAGATTGTAATATGATAGGTATTTGAATCTTTTTAGAAGGACTCTTAAATGGTTTAAGCTTCTTTGGGCCATGATTGGCAAACAGAGGAAACTTTGTTTCATAGGAATCATTTTGATCCTCAACCTCTACAATTTCTTCTATTACTTTCTTTTTCTTGAGTACTGAAGATGATGTGTCATTTGTCCTAGACCTCTTTTCTAACACAGAATTTGTTGTTGTTGCGATGGATTCCACAGTACCATGATGATGAGTAGTACTGCTTGTAAATCGTAAGCTCGAGTTTGTAATGCTTATTGCTGGTGAATCATGATGTGAATCTCCATTTCTTAATGGTTCATCATGAGTTGAGGCTGTAGTTTCAGTTGTATTATGATTGTTATTATTATTATGGACATTAGTTGTAGTGGCAATGTTGGAGTTTGATAAAATTGAGGAGATTTGAGGAGGTGGATCGGTACGTACTGATGATGGCAACGAAGTGGTGGTGGCTGCAACAGGAGGAGATCTGACACGATCATTCATGATTACGTTTGCATCAGTCAAAGGTTGTTGATGGTTGTTAGTGGTGGCAGTTACTCCTTGCATGGAATTATAAATGATTGGAATATTGTTACTGTTTTGGCCCGAGTTCAGCAAAAACGAAGAATTTTGAAAAGCAAGTCCATAGTGTCGAGTGGTCTTCATAGCTTCGTAATTACCGTTTAACAATTTCGTTACCTTTTCATCTAATTGGGCATCTTCTAAACTTTCCTGTTGATCATTTTCTTCATCCATTTTCGTTTCTTCATCCACAAGGTTGGTCTTTTTCAATAATTTGTTTTTCTTTCGAGTTAATTTTGCAATTTCTTCTTTCAGTTCCTTCATTTCTTCATGGAGTGATTTAATATTCTCTAAATCATTTGATACTTTCAAGAGATGGTATTCATAGTCTTTTGCATGTGATACTTGATTCAAATAGAGTTGATTTTGCAGTTGATATAATTTGATGGACTCCACAATGAGCTGCTCCGAGGCTGAAAGAATAGTCTTTTGCTGCAATGTAGAGTGCATCAAATTATTTTCTTCTTCTAGTGTGTTGTTGGAAAGTGGTTTGGAAAGAGCCAGTTGTGGTTGTTGTTGGGGATTTGGCTGTGGTACATTTTGAGGAATTTGGTTGAAAGGATTTGGAGGAAAGAAGAGCTGATGATGAGGATGAGAACCCATCAAACCCGATGTAGGTGGGTAATTGGATGTGTTGGAATTGTATGGATACAACATCACGGGTGGTTGAAGAGGATAGGGAATTGGAAGATTAAAATTATTGAAAGAAGAAAAGCCTTGTTGTTGCTGCATCATCGTAGTAGGAGGGTGCAAAGGATGATAAAATTGTCCATTGTTTATCAGTGATGGTTGGGGGTATGCGGTTGGTTGTTGTAGAAGGCTGTTCCGATATGAAATACCGTTGTGGTTCAAATGTTGTTGATGAGTCGATGATGAAGAATCGTCTTGGTGTGCTTGATGATTCGTTGTTGGTTGATTCTGTTCCATCCTTCTTGCACAGTCATGATCGTTTTTTTTGTTCTTGCTGGAGTTGGAACTCTTTCATCTTGAATGATTCTGTTGGAATATATTATATTTTATACAAATTGTTGGAATATAATATATATTATATATATACCTCATACACTTCAATATTGACACTTTGGAATACCAAAGACAAAGAGTGTTCACTAATAAACAACATCTCGATGCATCCAAAACGAACTGAAAGGTGTGTTCACAAAAAAATATGAAAGCTCTTTCTAAAGCCAAACTCCGTCACTCCCAAAAGCAACAACAAGAAGAGCGATCAGCCCTTTCGAGTCGCAATTCACCAACACCACCTCTTCCTCCCTCTCGGGCGAACCTCTCAACTCATTCGCATCATCATGAGACTCCATCGCTCAGTGATCATAATATTACTCATTATATTCATCATAAGGAGGAGTATACGAATGGTTGTGATGATGATGAATACATTTTCAACAAGACTTCATCTTCCAATGTTGTAGATGTGCGCTTGTTGAAATATGAAAGAAATTTACTTCTCCTCACACTACTCAATACTCATCGACATTTAATTGTTGATCATCCTAATGATAATATCAACAACAACAACAACAACAGTATGGATGATACGAATAGCAGTAGTTCAAGTGATCATCCTCCTTCTGACATCATGACCCATCACATTCATTCCTATTTACAATCTCTTCAATCCAATTCGGACAATATGGATTTCATCATTCATTCAAATCTCAGTAGAATCACCAATGTGTCCTCTCTTGTGCAATGCATTCTCAACAAACAATCATTGATGGATTTGAGTGAATTTCATTTACTATACTTACCTTCTGCTGAGAAGAACGAAACACAAAAGGAGTCCTCAAGAATGAAGATCAGCACCACGAATAGTATGAAGACCACAAGTACTACGACCCAACTCTCCACACCAACAACAACACCACCAACAACAACAACACCATCCACACCACCACCACCAACCATCACCAAATTAGATTTGTCAAATCCCATCCCAAGCTTTTCAATCACCTCAGTCACTCCTCCTCCTCCTAAACAACAACAAGACTATGAAGATCGTTCCACTACTGCCAATTATAATATTAGTACCACCATCAATTCATCCTCTTCTCCAACAATAGTAGAGACTGCTACTATGGAGGAGGCGATCACCACCACAAATACCACCACAAATACCATCATCACCACAAATACCACCACAAAACCCTCACAACAACCACCTTCCTCTCAACTGCCACAACCGACAATGATGAAACGATTGAAACCTCTTCCAAAACCAGCCTTATTGGATACTTCCGAGTTGTTTTACAAGACTGTGATGGGTGATGATGTGATTCAATTTTATAATAACAACAAATCACCAAGATCACCACAAACATCATCATTACCATCACCACTACATGAATTATTTCATCAACATGTATGGATGACCTCCTCCTCGAGTACGAGTCCTCGTAATTCTTCACTTTGGTATCACATTTCCTATTCAGATTTAAAATTAATTTCCTATGAACTTGTATTAGTATTATCCAATGCACTTATTGAATATCATACCATTCATAATAATCGAAACTCTTTTGATACTGTATTGAATGTCGTGAGAAAATATTGTGGAATTTCCAAAAATGATCATTTCAATATGGTTAAGAGAGTCATTTCTGGAAATTCTTCAAATCATCCTCTACTTTCAATTCTTTCATCATTTAACACTGTTGATTGTGTTGAGTATTATCAAGTATTAACAAAATTGAAATCTTCACAGACAGAATCAAATCCTGAACAAAAATCATTTCTCTATCTTTGGAAATTAATTGGTAATAATTTAAAAAATAGTGAATATTTAAATGTATTGAAAATCTATGCACAAGTATTTTATAATGTATTACTTTCAATGATTTTTATGAAATTTAATCCAACTCGTAAAAAGGAAACTATTACTACCACAAATAATAATAATACTATTAATAATAATAATAACACTATTACTACTGCCACTATTAATAATAATAATAATACTACTACTTCTAATAATAATACTATTAATACCACCACCACCACCACCACCACTACATTCCAAATGAAATTGAAAAATCAAATCTATTCCAATTTTCATTCTCTCCAATCCTTACTTTTCAATGAATTTGAATTAATCATGAAATGTGAAGAACATCAACATGCCATTCAAATCTACACTCGACTAAATTCAGATCTTGTCATGCCAATACTAGAAACTTTAAATCCTAGTAATGGTAGTATTAAAACGACTGCTATTACTAATAATACTCCCACAATGACCTCTTTATTACCCTCCTCCTATTCATTTCCTATCAATATTCAATTATATTCTCAACTTTCAGATACTCGAGTATTAAATCTTTTAAAATTACTTAAAAATAATCAATTAGAAATTCCAGAATATTTTGAAGATATCATGAATGATGATACAAATTATGATGAATCTTTTGAACAAGTGATTGAACACGATGCAGTCACAATGGCATTGAAACCCATTCGACAAACATTAAACATTTCTGAAACTATGGATACTTTGTGTTTCATTGATTCTATATTTAGAATGGAACAGAATTGTAGTACAGATACTGATCTAATGTTACAATGTGATCGATTGTTATTACTACTCTTTCAATACTATATTAAGAAGAGAAATGTTATTTCTAATTATACCAAATATAGTGAAGAAGAGAAAGTGTATTATGATCATGTATTTGGAACGATGAGACAAGTCTTGGGACTTAATTTATTAGATTTTACTTCTAGTTATAGTATTGATCATGAAATATTTACTAGTCATCTCAAATTATTTAGATATATTTGTTATATCATGATGAAGAATGATTTCACACTCACACATCCATCCATGAATTTAATATTTGAAAGTATAACCAAATCATCCATTCGAAAACAATATGAAAGAATTAAACAACAAGAATGTACACATGTAGCATTTACAAAGAGTAGTAGTGGTACGAGTGGTGTTGTTGTTGTTGTTGTTGGTGGTGGTGGTGGTGGTAGTCCTCTCGCCTACAATTATCGTATGACAATAACACCATCAACACCACCAACACCAGAGAAAACAATGAATGCCAGCAATCATTTAAATACAACCACCATTACCACCACTACTACCAATTTGAATACAACGACCACCACTATTGATACCAATTCAAATACAACCATTTCCACTCCTACTACTACCCCCACTACTCTAAATGATTCAAAATTAGACATTGATGAACCTACTACTACTATCATGAATGATTCAAAAGATATTGACACACAAAATCTCATCATTTGCAATCAATTTATCAAATTTGGAAAAGAATTACTCTCAGAATTAACCTATCAACAATCTACATTATTTTCATCACTTTCCAATTACTATGAAGGTGCATTTATTGAATCACTTTATATGACTTTTACATTTTATATGAAAGATTTACAATCCATTCTCTCAAATTATTTATTTCCTACAAAGACAACAATTGATGATCACTCTAATAATGACACCATGAAGAATCATTATCATTTATTTAACATATTTTCTGTATTACAATCTTTTTTTAATGTTATTTAATGAATGTATTTTCGATGAGAATGTGGATGATAATGATGATACATCATCCATGATGGATGAAGAAACACCTACAAACAAGACATTATCGATAGTCACTCCTAACAACAACAACAAATTGAATTCTTCATCATCTCCTTCATCTACCACATTGAATTCTTCTTCATCTATATTTGGAAATTACAAACTCTCCTATCCTCATCGAATTCTAAAAATATTTGAACCTATCATGAATCTCTTAAAACAACCCATGAATCTTTACATTAATCACATTCAAAGTCAATTCTTTAAATATTTAGAAAATGCAGTGAAATTAGAGAAATGGCAACCCTTAAATGAAGATGTCACTTATTCATCTTCCTATATTGATCTCTTTACCTTTATTAGGCAAGGAGTACCATCTTTGTATTCTATTTGTTTACCCAATGTATTGGAATATTACAAACATTTTAATCAATGTTTGAGTGGATTAATGCAAAGATATTGTGTTCATATTATGAAAGATTTACCAAAACCAGAAGATTTTATACCCCAGAGATTATATCCATGGAGTAGTGAAAGTACAAGTTATCCTAATAGTAGTAATAGTAGTAATAGTAATAGTAGTAATAGTAGTAATAGTAATCAAAGTAATAGTCCCAAAAGCAGCCCTGGTGGAATGTTTAAAAAATTTTTAAAATCCAACTCTACAAGCACCACCAGTAGCACCACCAATTCTTCATCCTCCTCTTTGATGAATGATCTCATTACAAATCCTCAAAAAACTTTTCATTCCATCTCTTATGAATCTTTGTTTGTGAGATTGGCCAATCTTGTCAATACTCGTAGACAATACATCAAAACAGTGAAAGAATTAATTGAATATTCAGAACAGAGTCGATTATTATTTATTGGAAAATCTAATGCAACAACACACAATCCTACTACTCTACCATCCATCTATGCAAGTGTTGATTTTTATTCTAATTTAGAAGGAACATGTGATTTGTTAAAAGATTTCATTTCACAACTCACTGAATTAATTGGATCTAGAAATATCTATTGTGAATTGTATCATAATTTATTTGGTGAATTATATTTACCTCAAGTGAAAGATTTTACTGTTGCTCCTAAAATGATTCAAGAATATTTTGAACCATGTTTAGAGAGTTTATTAGATTTGTGTGATGATCCAGTGTGTGTGGAGTGGATTATTACAAGTATGTTTAAACATTTAGTGAAGGCATTGTATTTGATTGTGGTTGAGGGATATTTATCACCTGATAATGAATTTCATTTGAAATGGAGATGTTGGAGTGGTGATGGTGGTGATCATAGTTCTGGTAATAGCAATGGTAATAGTAGTGGAACCAATAGTAGTCATAATAGTAGTGGAAGAGAAATCTCCTCTCATGTCTCTCTCTCAAAAATTCTCTTGAATGATTTGATTCAAATTGAAAAATTCTTTTACAGTGAAGGTGAAGGTATTCCTGATTGGAATTTCATTACTCACACAACGAGCCATTTAAAGAATATTATTGCCAATGTGATGGACAAGACAAGTGAACAATTGATTCATGGAAGTATGAATAATCCATCTTTTGATGCAGCACCAACGAATGGTCATTTTGGTGGTGGTTCACAACAACTTGGATCATCACATCATCATAATGTCTTTACCAAACAAATCTATTACAAGGTGTTGTATCATAGAAATGATCCAATTGCAAAGAAATTTATCAAGAATCACAAGTATCGATTTGATTAATTACAGTACAGTAGTAGCAATAGTAGTAGTTGTTCATCATCATCCTCTTCTTTACGATTAGGACTTTATGAACACCCAGTCACAGTAGTGTGGGTGTTTGGTCAATGATCACCCAACAATGAATTCCATTAAAATTCCCATTCTTCTTCTATATCTACGACCTATTTCTTGTTTCAATGCATTTCAATGATACATCATTGTCGACGATGATGACTCTTCAAATCTTGGTATCCAAGTACATCATACTTGAGATATGAAAGTAATTCTTGTTTCTTTTCAAGACATTCTTTTGTATTGCTGAGAATTCCCATAAACAATTTGACAAAATCTGAATGATTGAAATTTTCAAAATGTTTCACATGAAATAATAATGGTGATAATGGTGGTGAGGATGGTCGTGTTGTTGTTGTCAAGGTTGGTGGTGGTGAATGATTGCTTGTTGTGTTAATGACACTCATATGTGAAATAAATTCATTTCCATATTCTGGTAATACTGTCGTGTCTTGTCCACCATTCACAATATGAAATTTTATATTGGGATTATATTGAAAAAGAGAATGCAAGAGTGAATGTTGTTGAGAGTGTGAGGATTGGTGTGAGGATGATTGGATGGTAGTGTCTTTTTCATTACCATCGTCATCACTACTATTGTTGAACTTCGAGGAAGGATCCATTCTACTACTACTACTACTACTACTATCACCACTACTACTACTATTACTACTATTTCTATCACCACCACTATTACTAGTAATAATATTCTTCTTCTTTGTATTATTGTACGATCGTATCAACATGTGATAAGGTGAATATTTGATCAAATCTCCTCTCATTACTCGATACAATCCACTCCATTTCTCAACACCTCTCTCAATTTCTCTCTGATATTGTTTTTCTAAATCATAAACACCTGCCAATAGAATGACTCGATTCACATATTGAGCCAATGATGGTTTTCTGAGAAGAGAGGTGAGTGAAAGATGTGCACCTGAGGAGTGACCACAAATGGATAAATCTATCCAATGATGATCACCATTGATAGGAGGTGGTTTGAATAGAGGTGTTGAATGAATCCATTCAATACACTTTTCTACATCTTGTAATTGATCTTCAATGTCATACATGTGATCCAAAGTTCCATATCTACAACTACTATTACTAGAGAGACTTTCAGAAGTGGCACCACTCGTTGTAGAAATGGAATTTGTAGCAGTAGAAATGGAACTTGTACTGTGATCTATTGTTGTCTCATCTTTCTTTTTTTTTGAATACTTTCGATAATTACAAATCACAAGAATATGATCATTCAAATAATCTCTCAATGTACATCCAAGATTATGATAGAGTAATTTATCACCACTATTCCATGCACCACCATGAATAAATAATAGAACTTGTGTTTTAGAATTGGTATTAGTAGTATTTTGATGATTATTATTGGAAGTATTATTATTTAACATATTATTATTATTGGAATTATTTAACATATTATTATTATTGGAAGTATTATTATTTAAAATATTATTACTAGAATGAGTGATGATCGGATCATTCATTCTTCTCATTTTGTCATGATGATGTTTCTGATAATAAATATTCAAATCATTTCTTTCATTTTCACCATATTGAACATCTCTCAAATAATAAGGTTTAAAATATTGTACTAAATAATAATGAAATATCACACCCAGATACCATGGAAGGAGAAGAGAATATTCGAGTGCAGTGCTGATCAAGATCCAAAAAGTTTTCCATTTCATTTTTTTTTGAAAAGAGTCCACCATTCTTGTCATTACTACCACCACCACCACCACCACCACCACCGGAACGTTGTTCATTGAAACTCTCGAGATTACCTTTGGGAATTCTTGGCTTGATCAAGCGAAGGAAGTGCAAGCACAATGATGTTTTGTAAACTTCTGGTTCACATTGTCGAAAAAGCTCCCATTTGCTCTCGGAGCCTAGGCTGGATGTGATGCCAAGAAAAAACAAGAATTATTCTTAACCAAACCAGAGGATTATGCATGTATTAACGGAGGGAAATGTTTTAAAGTGGATGGTGTTGATGATGCCAAAGAATTCCAAGAGGTTGTGAATCATAAAAAAGGTTCATTTCTTGGCAAATACATTTGAACCTCAAAAAATGAACACACCGCCACACCATCACTTACTCCATCATCGGAAGAAGATTTGCTCCGATTCGGATCATCATTCATTCACCCTTCGCACCAGCACCAGCACCAGCACCACTAACTCTTCACCCTTCTCACTAGCACCCTCAACACCACCATCTCCTAATTTATTCATTTCTTGTTGTGCCAATACCACTTACATGATTGTTGTGTTATGTTTTTTATTTGGTCTCTTTATTGTAAATGAAAATCTTTCATTATTCAAATACATGGTGAAAGATCATGAGAGAAGAATTGATTTTGAAAGACAATTCATTCCTTCAAAAAGTATTTCAAATCATGATGTTCAACCACACACTCAACCTATTGCTAATAATTTACAACAACCACACACTCAACAACATTCTTCGCAAACAAACTATCATCTCTTATTTGTACATGGTGCATTTGGATCAAAAGAAGAATTTACAATGAATTATTTTCCATACTTTTTAAAGAATGATAAAATTTCAAGTGTTGGTGCCTTCTCTTTCACAGCACATGGAAAATCTTCTCATTCGAATTATATTAAATATTTAAGAATGATCGATTATGTCAATGATTTGGAATTGGTCATTGAAAAGTATTATCAACAAGGTGATTTCAAAAATGGTAATCATCAATTAATTCTCATATGTCATTCCATGGGAGGACTTGTATGTCAAAAATATTTGGACAAATTGTCAAAAAAAAGAAATCTATCAGTTATTCCTTTAGCAAGTATGATACTCTTAGCAAGTGCTCCACCTGTCTCTAGATTTGAAAATATACTTTCTACCATTCGTTATGATCCATTTCATCTATTATTCACAAATTTCATGACATTTACAATTGATGCAATAGCAATGACTTCCATTCATCATACCAAACATTATTTTTATCATGAAAAGACTAGTTTAGATGATATTCAGAATATTCACAAAAATGAATTGAAATTACAAAGTGAAGGATTAATTTATTATTTGGATAGTTTGACATGTTCATTGAATGCTCAAAGTATAATTGAAATGTTTAAAAGAGATCTGAATGCTCAAAGTATAAAAAGAGATCAAGAAACAAGAATCAAGAGAGATGATTCCTCAATGCAACCATCCAATCATGAGAGTGATATTGCCTCACAGCAATCCAATCGAATATTATTTTCACATCCATTCCATATAAAGGTCATATCCATTGAAAAGGATGCATTTTTCACTCAGAAACAGCACGACAAAACTGTTGAATATTGGAATTTAATTGCCAATCAAGTTAATCAAAAACAAGAAGGTCATACAGATGGATTAAAAGTCAGTGGTGAGATTATTCCAACTGATTCAGTACAAGTGGGACATTTAGTCATGTTGGATGTGGGTTGGAAACAAGTGGCTAACAAAATTATTCAATTTATTCAAGAGGAGCTCTAAGATTTGAACAAGTATTGATTCCTACGAGAATTGGTTCACAAATAAATTGTGATGTCAAATTTATTTTCGACTGACGAATGGTCAATTTTTCTTTTTTTATTGAACCTTATTGAATATGTCATCAAATAATCGATAGGCGTTGTTTTTTTACTTGATATCACTCCTGAATTAATATCCATCCATACCTTGTGTTTTTCTCAAAAGCTTATTGGATGAAACACCAACAGTGGTATGATAGTTTAACAACATACCAGAGATCTGAGAGTTTTCGAATGTAGGCAGGAAGAAAACCTGCTTGAAGTCCCAGCTGGGACAAAGGTGGTGATAAAATACAAGTGAAGTAATGCAAATGTGTGACCTTTCAATGAACATATCTTTCAAATGAAGATCAAAAGAAAATTTCAAGCTTGAAAATGGTCAACAACCTGAGAGAATAGACCAAAACAAAGTTCTTGAATGGACTTCCAAAGCTGTGAGAGATGTGCCACTTCATGTGTCATTAGTGGATTTAAGAAAGCAGGACAAAAGATGGTTCGTATGAAATGAAGCAGGTGCAATATTGCCACTCCGAGTTATGACTCCATTCTATTTAGGAAACAAATTAACACATTCAAAATCTATTACAAATCTGTTGTATTTGAGGAATTACACAATAATTTTAATATCATCAAATCAGGTTATTATCAGTGGTACTGTATATAATTAAGAAATGTTAATCTATCAATGAAATAAATATGAACAATACTATTTTTGTTCTCTGTAGTAAATTGTTAAAATATTTAGTTCACCAATTAACATATAAATATTAAACCGATCTTATATTTATTTATTTCTATTTACATTTACTTTAAATATTATGAATAACATTTATATAGTATTTTATTGGGAGAAACAATAGTGAAGAAAAGAATAATATCAAAAGAAATCATTCTATAAATACTATACAACAGTCAAATCATTAATGGTTATAGATATAATAAAGAAACTTATCAAACTTATGATGCAAACGCTATCCTTTCTAATTATTACTCCAAATATTAATTGAAAGGGAAATATCGTAAAAATAATTACAAAATATCCTTCGGTAAGAATGTTTGTTGTGTAATAAATCAAATATATTATGTTGTATCTCGATGTAAGTTTTATCATATATTATAATCAAGTCACGAAATAATTCATTTGAAGATTTTCCTAACACGATAATTTGATAATAAAAATGGTTTGGTCCAGATTTTATAATATATGGATAACTGTGTTCTGTATCTTGATAAGAAATGGTCTCTTAAAGGAGATGTCTTCTCCCAAAACTTTTTAACCATTTTCATGAATCTTGCCAAATGGTCATAGGAAAGAATTAAAAGGTTAGGTCAAAGTTGATTTTAAGAAAAGTGTTGTCGAGGTGGCATGATTTGTGGCCATTCATGCGAGTGACTCCATTTCACAGTCTGTCATCCACAATCGTTGCTGACCAAATAATTGGTTGATATCAAAAAATTGTTTCTTAAGACTTTGTTTTTCTTGTTTCTCCTCCTTGATATTTTCAGGTCAAGGTGCTTTTTTACCACCTGTAAAAGTGATTTGCAAATTCCTTTTCTTAATTACTCCATACAGGAGGTTAAACATTCCATCGATAAATATTTGTGCTTTTGCATTGAAATTGAAGCTATTTCAGCTACCTATATTGAATATTCAATTTCGAAAGAATCATCATGTTCTGAAAGAGGTTGAAGCGTTTAAAAAATGTCATCATTGAACAAACTTGAAGAATTAATGAATTTTGGTTTTTCTGAGGAAGTGTGTCGGAAAGCTCTCCAGAATAACCCAAACGGATCCATTGAACAGTTAGTGGATCAAATTATTACACTATCAGAATTATTAGCAGGCAGTGGTGAGGAATCATCGAACACCACCACCACCATCAACACAACGACCACCAATAGCAACAACACTTGTTGTTCATCACTCGGAAATAGTCTTGTTGTTGACAACAACAACATTCCTTCTGCTGTTACTACTACTACCACTACTAGTACTACTACCATCCCTTCTTCCAATAATGTTTTATTAAATCAAAAATTCAATGAATATCTAAACAAAGTCTTTCCAAAGATGACTCAACAACAATACAAGATGGTATTTGTGGTGAGAAATGATTTGGATATGAGAAAAGGTAAAATTGCAGCACAGTGTTGTCATGCTGCTGTTGGTCTCTATCGAAATATTTTGTATGAAAATGTTGATTATTATCAGTACATCTATTCACAATACTTACCAACAACAAGTGAACAACAACAAGAATTGTCATCATCCATCATTACACTTGGAGATATTCAACAATGGAAACAATATCTTCATGATTGGGAAACCACAGCTGAAGCTAAAATATGTTTGAGAGCTGACAGTGAAAAAGAATTTGAAGGATTAATTCGAAATTGTTTGAAAGAGAAATTAAATTGTTATCTAGTCGTTGATGCTGGAAGAACACAAATAGAGGCTGGATCCAAGGTGAGTGTTGTTGTTGTTGTTGGATTCAAAAGGATTGAATTTTAATATTGAAATCTGAATGAACATCATGTTGACAATTTGAATCCGTGTCAATGATATGGAATCTTTGTTGCGATCACGAACTATGGAATTTGTTATGGTTGTTGTGAACAACACTTTGTGTACGATCGATTATCATCATCATTGTTGTTCATCACTGTTCAACAGACTGTGTTAGGAATTGGTCCTGCACCTGTTGAGATAATTGATAAGGTTACAAAACATTTAAAACTATTGTAAAATTGAATGCAAAGCTGATATTTTAGTTTTTATTATTCACTTCGAAATTCCATTTGTTTTGATTTGTGTAATATTTGAGTCTGATGGTCTTTTTGAATAAATCATTTAAATCATTGAATAATAAAGGAGTTGATGATGATTGAATGTCATGATTGGTAGTGGTGGTGGTGGTGGTTGTGTCAGCAGTCGTTTGGGTCATCTCAATTCTTCTAGGAATTGTAATGGTCTTGTTCGATTTCAATAATTTTCTAAACTTGGTTGTGAACATTTTGTGATTAATTTGAATTATCATCTGATCAATTATCATGGGTGTCATGCTGCTGTTGTAATTGTGGTAAGTGAATTGATTTCCATTAAACAATTTGATGGAATGAGTCGTAGTTGTAGTTGTAGTATTCGTCATCGCAATATTCATCGCAATATTCGTCGTCCAAGTACCTTGGAATGATGACATTGAGGATTCAGTCTTTTTTGTCTCATCATCACCATTATTCATTGTATTTTTCTTCGAGAACAACAATTGAACACTTTCAATGATATTCAATTGAGTAGATTTCACTTGAAAGTATTCTTTCAATTCTGTTTCACTCTCTAATGAATTTCTTTCTTCTTTCTTCTTGACATTGGGATTGAAATTCAATTCAATTTCATAAATATATTCAGGAATTTCAAATCGATTGGGTGGATCAATCTTTTCAACCAATCGATTAAATAAATCATCAGATTTACATCTAATAACCATAAATGCATCATCATTGAATGGTGTTAATTGTAAATTACAAATAATTAATTTAGAATTTGGATTCATAGTAACAAGAGAATTCACAGGATCTACAGACAATTTGCTACCAATTGCTAGAATGAGTGTTGAATTTTCAATAAATTGAACTGCCTTATCCCATAAATGTTGAGGAACCTTCTCTCCAAAATTTACAATCAAATCTTTCAATGGAGATTGACAATATTCACACTTGTTAACAGAAAGATGAGAATTGTCAATACTCAAAGTAGGAGGAGTGGAAGATTCAATCTTTTTCTTGTTAGTAGTACTAGTACTAGTAGTATTTTTAGTAGTCCAAGTGGTAGTAGTATTGGTCTGATCATTCTCAATGCTCGTAGTAGGACTTTTCGATGCTGCAATGATATTCAATCCACTGGATGATTTCACTATATTTCTATAAATGGATTCACTGGTTGGATGTACAATAATATCCTCTCTAGTAAATGTCTTATTACATTTCTCACAATATTCTTTATAACTATTTCCATGTATTTCAACAATATCTTTTTCATCAATTCCACTCTTTAAATGTAAATTATCACTATTTTGAGTAATAATATATTTGATATAACCTAGATCATAGAGTTTCTTAATAGCCATGTGAGTGAGTGTTGGAAAGTATTTCAAATTGAGATTCTTATTTGTGGTGGTGGCGGTGGAACTAGTACTCGTGTTGTTGTTGTTATTAGTACTATTGTTACCACTATTACTACTGCTACTACCACCATTATTGGACATTGCAGACAATAACATTCCATCTCTCAACCATATTCCATCTTTTCCTCTATAAGTACTCAATCCAGCACTTGATGAAATACCTGCACCTGAGAATATACAAATGTTACCCTTATGTTCTGCAAATAAATCACCTAATTGAGCTATCTTAGGTCTTAAAAATTCAATATCTTCTTCATATTCAACATCACTGTCATAGTCATTTCTTTCAAAATCACTATCGTAATGTTTTTCTTTTTTTTTCTTTTTTTTCTTTTTTTGGTAAGAGGAAGAAGAATCGTTGAGGCTTCGTTTAGGTGTTGTGGATGATTTTTTAGAGGGAAGTTGATGATCACTAGAATCATCCTCTGAAGAAAGATCTTGTTGCTTCTTTTTAGAAGTCTTTTTCTTTGAATGGGATGTTTTGGAGGTCTTTCTCTTAGTTGGTTGTGGTGATTGATTGGATTCAAGGACAACAGAAACACCAGCAGTAGCACCAGTTGTTGTTGAAGAAGCCTTTTTCTTCTTACTGGAGGATGAATTTAATGTTTTTTTAGAGATCTGTTTTCCTTCGGAAAAGAGAGAGGAAGTAGTCTTTGATGAGCTTTTACGACGAGCTGTTCTTGGAGCGCTGATGATGGGTTGGTTGTGTTCGCAGTCCTCGTCTTCTTTCATTTCTGTCTCGGAATGAAGTGGAGATGGTGTATGGACTTGTTGCATTTTTCTTTGTTATTATTTTCAAACAGATACTGCAATTATAACGAAAGACTTGATAATATCTCTAAATGGCTCGGCCAATTAAGTCTAAAAATTAATCCTTCAAAATCCATGGCAACCACTCTCCCAACTAAAAGCAAAATGAAGCCAATGATAGACGGTACTATTATACCAAGATTCAAAAACCTTCGAGTACTTGGACACTATCCTTGGGATGACTCTACTTTAAATGAAGATATTGAAAAAAGAATCCTCCAATTTCAACTCTCACTCAAATATATTCCACTGAAAAGAATGGAGATAACAAACATTAAGAAAGTAATTTTTGCCAAATGCACTAGCTTATTTACACACATTTTACGAACAAATTACATTCCTGAATCACTTGTTGATAGAATTAACATTGAAGTAAGAAAAGCAATAAGAAAGAAAATTTTCATGCATAATGCTAGTCCAACAAACTATTTTCACCTCCCAATCACCTATGGCGGACTTGGTATTCCAAGATTCGATATCTTTGCAGATGAAATTCGAATCAAAACAGCCCTGTATCTTATTAACAATGATAATGAACTTCTTAGAGAAGTATATTCAGAAGGAATCAAACACGAAAATTCGATTTTTAAGGAAATGAACAGATCAATGAAGAAATACAAGATCAGACCTCAACAATTTAACAATGACGAAATCTTTCCAAAACTCAAAGGAAAGAATTTTACTATTTACACTGACGGATCAAATCTCAACAACTCAACAGGTTTCGGCTTTACCGCCAAAGTTAACAATTCCCAAGAAACCCAAGATTTCTCATACAAAATTAACAGCGAATACTCACATAACGTTGCTGAATTATCAGCAATACTCACATCACTAAAGATACTTCCACCTAAATCTAAGGCAAAAATTCACACAGATAGTGAAATATCCATCCACGTTTTGAAAAACAAAGCCTATAACGGAATTTTTAACTGCTTCAAGCATGAATATCAACAGGTCATTCAACAATCCAATCTAAATATTCAACTAATCAAAGTTAAAGGTCATGTCAACAAAGGAAACATCAAAGCTGACGAATTAGCTAAGAAAGGAGCTCAAGAGCACAACTATTTTGACATTAAGAAGCTATTTTCGAACCAAACCATCCTTGCCACATCTAATACCATTATTTTCGACATCAAAAAATCCATACAAAAGAAAAAGATATGATGTAATGTTTAGCCAATTTGATAGAGATAATTCCAGTCTACACCTTACCAAGAACTGGTCATCTATCAATCTAAAATTCATCAAATCTAAAATTGACACAAATACTAAGTGGTCAATCTGGAGAAACTTAACAAGCAACCATATCAAACAACATAAGGAAAGACAATGCGCTCACTGTAAATGCCCCGGAACTCTAAAACATTTCATATACTATTGCCCTAATACTCAATGCTTTAGAGATTTTTTCTACACTAAATTCCTAGATATTACATCAATGCAATGTATCCTCAACGATTATCAAGAATCAAGATACTGTGAAAGAAGGAAAGTTTTCATTATTCATCATGACGGAGTAATGATTCGAGATACTCAAATGCCCAACTTTAAAAATTTACCAAATATTTACCAAAATTGGCCTGAAATCCAAACAATTCTCACCCTACTAGTTGGTAAATGTCACACCAAGTATTATGAAAACTCAAGGTTTAAAAAACCAATTCAAAAACAAACCCCAATCCTCACGGATTTACCAGCACCAGTGGTGCTAACAATAAACTAATTAGATTTTTCTTTGTTATTATCTGTTCTCAGTCACAGGCTTATCTTTGCACACAATCAAAACACCATCTAGAATTCAACAATGAGAATTGGCCGACGCGAGTGTATTAATAAATTCATTGGCTGAATGTCTTCAAAGTGAAAACAACCGAGTTGTTCATGAAGTCTTTTCTTTTCCAGGCGCCATTTTGAAGATGACAAGTCCGCATAGTGATTTTGTAAAATAGAGGTGCGAGTTGATTAAAAAAAAATATTCATCATGCTCAGACGTTCACTTACTTCCATTGCCCGTTCAACGTAAATATCATTGTTTTTCAATTATTAATTTGTTTAATCATTTATTCACTAACACGAATTTATTACACCCACTCGAATTATTATATATATATTCTTTTTCGTATTCTTATTCCTTTATTCTGTATTCCCACTTTGGCTAAACACAACCCCAATTCTCACGCCCAATCAATATATCATCGCGTTAAATCCTTCAACAACAACAATACAAACAACACTACACAACAACAGTGCTTTCAAGTCAAACTACGGAGTTGCTACCTACGCAACATCAGCTGCTCAAGGCGCTGCTTTGGATGAAAGCGTTAGAAAGGTATTGAAGCCTGAAGTTTTGAAGGTCATTGAAGCCAAGACTGACTCTCTCCTGATTAAAAAATTGAACTTCCTTGGCAGATACTTTGTCTGTCGTTTGAATGTGGCCAGCAAGTTGATCTTGAACTCTCTTTCTCAAGAAAACTGCTTCCGTATCATTGTCAATGAATTGGACGATCCATGGGAATATTACTGGAAGCAAGTCAGAAAGAATGGAAAGGACTCAAACAAATGGTTGGAATCTTTGAGAGAAGTTAGAGACTTGCCATTGATTGCTGATCGTTGCTGGAGAAACATGTTGCTCTCTGGTGTTTATCCAACCACTGAACACTACAACACATATCTTGATGTATTGGCCAACACAAATGACAACTTTTATCTTCATGACACTTTTGATGATTTGAAGAGAAGAAACCCATATCAAAATCCTGATGCCGCTTCATTCAACACTATGTTGGACAATTATATTAGACACCAAGACGGACAAAGAGCTCTTGTTCAACTTGAGTACATGAAATCAAAGAATATTGCTGTTGATGCTTCATTGGAAGGTAAGCTCAAGGAACTTCTTGCTGCTTACGACCCAGAGAAGGGCGCAGTTTGGGCTTTGGACAAGGGAGGCGAAAAGCCAGAATTTGAAATCAAGAAGGAACAAGCAGGTGAAAAGAACCAACAAAAGATCTTTGATAACTTGGAAAGATATATTCAACCAGATTTCTCCAAGTTGGTTGTCCAAGAGTAAATTTATTCATTCCCACTATCCTTTTTTACTACCACATACAGCTGAATATCCACTAATGAGGGACTCGAGGTTGCGGGAGTTGTTCAAGTCCCACACGGGAGATGTCTTGATTGTACATTGAGAATAAAATTAATTTTCAATTTAATTTATTAATACTGCTTCATCAGGTGGTACTTCCTTCCAGGATTTAATACTCTTTCCTTGTATGAGTGGGTGACTTGTGTTGCTTTCCGAAAGATGACACTTTGAAAGAAGAGAGAGAGAAGCCCATTTCAATTACGGACGGCTTTCAGTTTCGAAACCCTTTTAAATTAATTAGATGAAAAAAACTACAGCTCTCGCGAGTCCACAGCTGCATCACCTCTCTCAATTATTTGCAAATAAGGATCATCACCATGATGTACACCACAACTACATCGGAAGAGTTTCAGAACAAGTTTTCAAGATCCATGGATGGGCCAAACAATCATACCATCTTTTCAAAACAATCTACATCAGCTCATAATAACGACCCTAATCTTTTGAGAACTTCCCAACGCTTTCAAGGTACAGTCTCGAGCAAAGAAGTCAATGTTTACAGAGGAACTGGAGGTGGATTCAAATCAAACAATAGTTGCTTCATTCCGACCGACAATGAAATTCCAGTTCAACCAGTTGCTCGATGGAGGGATCGCTTAATTGATCCTTCCTATCATCCTTCAGACCTTACAATGACCCAATCCTCGTTCAATAAGCACTCCAGTTTGATTAAGGAAAAGGAGCATGCACAAACTCTCGTCCAAACACTACAAAAGGCGTCTGGTGGAAACCATTCACTCCATGAGGATCCTCTCCTTTCTTCTCATCCAACAGGATACAAGAGTAATTACAAATCGAAAAATATTGTTTCTGGATGCACCTACCCTGAACATTTGGAATTGACTACAAGTCATCATGTGAGTGAAACAAAGGATAATTTCAAGTATTGTGACCCTTATCAATATTCTCAATTTATGTCTACTCTCAAGAACTAGAGGTGCATAATATTATTGAGAATCAGGTTCTCTCATTCAGCACCTCTGTTCACAAATTTCATCTGTTGTCTTGTAAATAAACATTCTTCTTCGTTGTCCGATGAACCGCAAGGTCTCCACTCCAAAATCTCGTTGCTTACAAGCAAAGTGAAAAAAATTCCCTAAGACTCGACAATTGTTTCCTCGTCCCGATCCTTTTACTCATCATTTTCATCATCATTGAAATTATTACCAATGTCCTTCCTTTCCTCTCTCTCTGGTAATCAAAAATTATTGCTCGGTGCTACCCTTGCAAGTGCTGCTGGTTTGTTCTTGTACAAGAAACACTCTTCTTGTTGTTCAGCCTCTTCCAATGTTCAACCATCCATCACTATTGCCACAAGTGGACCTAAAGTCGATTATAGTAAAAAGTCCAAACAAGAAATTGAAACGGAGTTCAAACAAGTATTCCAAGAATTGAAGAAATTTGTTTTGGATGACATTAAGAATAACTATGAAGTACCCAAAGAGAATATTGAATATGTTGAAAGAGTAAGTACAACTCAAATCACACCATGCATATATTCAACTCATTCCAAATCACACCACCATTCCTATATCTCATCATTCCTCTCGAATATCATTCCAATATCCATACTTGACACCTCAGATTCTCGATTACAATGTTCCTCATGGTAAATTAAATCGTGGATTGGCTGTCGTGGATACTCTTCTCATTCTCAATTCCTATCAAGTCAGTGAAAAACAATTCCATTCTGCTTGTGTGTTGGGATGGTGCATTGAATTCCTTCAAGCCTTCTTCCTTGTTGCTGATGATATTATGGATGCTTCTATTACTCGTCGTGGACAGCCTTGTTGGTATCGTTTGAATGATGTCAAAATGACAGCCTGTAATGACTATTTAATTATTGAATCTCATATTTACAAGATTTTGAAACATTATTTCAATGAACCTTCTTTATATGTTCCATTGGTCGATTTATTCCATGAAGTGACTTATATGACCGAATTGGGACAATTACACGATTTGAGATCACTTCCTCCAAATGTAGATAAGAATGAATCTTCAACCATTCCATTCCATACTTTTAATATTCAAACTTATTCATTGATTGTCAAGTACAAGACAGCCTTTTATAGTTTCTATCTTCCATTATATTGTGGTTTAATTTTGAGTAACAAGTTGGATGAAAATATTAGAAAACAAACTTTTGATATTTCTATTGCAATGGGAGAATATTTCCAAATTCAGGATGATTATTTGGATTGTTATGGAGATCCATCTCATATTGGTAAGGTCGGACGAGATATTGAGGATTGTAAATGTTCTTGGTTAGTCGTAAAGGCTTTGGAATTGGCGAATGAAGAACAATTACAGGTGTTAAAGGCTAATTATGGAAAGGAAAGAACCTGAAAAGGTTAAATTGGTGAAGGAATTGTACAAACAATTGAATTTGGAAGAATTGTACAAGTCCTATGAACAAACAGCCATTCAATCCATGAATCAAATGATTGATCGTGTTCCTGATTTTATTAATAAGGATATTTACAGAACTTTATTGAATAAGATTGCTAATAGAACCAAATAAGAGAAAATAAGACAGCATTTGCGTGTGTGTTGGTTCCATTTGAAAGGTGGTGATGTTTGGCAATAATACAATTCTCAAAAGTTTATTATCTTTTTGTTCTCCTTGTTGTTTCCAAAGGGTTATGGCAACAAGGTCATAATTGTTCTTCAATCGTTATCCTGGATGCATATTTCAAGGAAGGTCCATAATTTGAGACTGTAGTTAGGACTAGTACCTCAAATGCATTATGTTAATGAAGATGATTTAATATAACATCAATTGTTTTTCAAACCTTCATCAAGACACAATTACGTTGTTGAATATTAGCGTTGTCTTTTTACTCTTGATTCACTCTCACTTTCAACTGTATTTGTGTTACTTGATACCAAAACAATTCTTTCAATGCACTTTTGGAGTTGGTCTTGTACACTTTTCCAAACTCTGAGTGTTGTTGTTGTTGTTGTTGTTGTTGTTGTTGTTGTTGTTGTTGAGAACTATCCGTGCTGGATTTTGTAGTGTTAGTGTTAGTGAATAATGTCTTTTCAAATATCCAACCTCTCTCATTGAGTTTTAAAAACATGGAATCCACAAAGAAGGCACACGGAGATTGATGAAACACTTCACACACTTGATTGAACAAGTCATCATTGAAAGGTATGGAAACATGACATTTCTGATGAGTGTACTCTGGAATGACAATTAAGCGAAACTCACTCTCGTTGTTGAGAGGGTTGACCTGATTACTCTCTTCTTGATGGTTCAAAAAAGGTAAAACATTCCAAAATAAATCTACAAATTCACTCATCCTTCGAGGATCATGTTTCTTCTTGTTGTCTTGAAATAATTCCTTCACTTGTGCTTTTAAATAATTGTACAATGATTGTCCCTGATACGATTCAAAATCCATTCATCATGTGCAATAAATTAACTGTTGCTTTTGCATCTTTATCACTTGCTCGAGAATAGTCGAGGATATGAATGGGATAATGATAGGAATGAGATTCAAAGTTCGAGTGTGGAAAATGTTCTTGCAAACTCACGTATTTTCCCTCCTGATCATTGCTTGTTAATAAATAACCAAGCTTGTTATTACAAACAATTCTAAATAAAGAAGGAGGAGTAGATCCTTCGTTGAAGTTTCCAATTTTAGGCATTACTTGTTGAGCTAATTTAGAAGAAATGAAATATGGTCCATGTTTCAAGTTATAACTCATTCGAAAGGTTAATAAATATTCAGGAAGATGGAAAAAGCTTTTCACTTGTTTACATTTCTTGTCTGTTTCATCATCGAATAGAACCAAATATGGATTATTTCTTCTTCCACTCAATCGTTCAAAAAATTTCGAATGGAAAAAGAAGGTTCGATCTTTTTCATGAAAAGTTTGAAAGGTCTCTCCTGCAATTTTGAATTTTGGATCAAAGGAAAGAGTTCTTAATACGAGTTGGGCATTTTCAAATCGTGAAGCCACTGGAGTAAAGGAAGTGTTGTTATTCTTTTTTGTTGACATTTTGGATGAATTTCCATGTTTGGATAAAAAGGAATTCCTCAAATGTTCATACATGCAATCCCAAAATTCAAATGAACTCTTTGATTGTTGCCATTTCAAAATCTCACAATCTAACAATGCCATCGTTGTTGAATAATGAGGATATTCAAATTTCAAATAAATGAAATCTTCATTGCAAGTGTGTTTACCTTCTAAGGGATGAATATGAAGAAGGGAAGAATCTGACAATGTTGCATGAAAAGTGGAATCTGAATTCTCCATGTCATGTTGTAATAAAATGTCATTCTGTGGTAATGATTGTTGTTGTGATAAATGAAGATATGATGATGGAATTCTCTTCAGTCGAATCAAAAAGAGAGGACTAATAGCATAATTATCGTCTTCTTTTCGAAGTAAATCATGAACTTGTGGACAATAGGCAAAGTATGGAATAATTTGAGCACAATAAATGAAGGAATGTTCTTCTTGAGAAATGTTGAAATTCATGGAATTCTGTTTTGATCGATTAGAATGTTCATCATCATATTCATCACCACATTCATCATCATCATCGAAACACGTGTAACCAAATGTCAAACGTTTGTTTCTTTTTTGAGATTTCTTCTCATCATTGAATTCTTTCATTTGAGATTGATCCATATTCTTCTCATCATTGAATTCTTTCAAATATTTCTCATAATGAAATAAACATTCATGAATGACATTCAATCCCTTGACACTCACTAAATAATGATTTGAAATTTCACTCAAAATTTTGAATTTTTCTGAAAATTTCATCGTTGAATAATGAGAGAACGTGTGACATGAAGAATGTTTTTGAATAAATTCTTTCAAAAGAGGTGAATGTTTGGTGTCAATGATATTCTGAGTGGAGAGAAAGACTTGTTTACAACGTAACAAGGATTAAACGTTCATCGTTGAATGTCCCTGAACATCCATATATGGGAAATTGAAAAAGTTCAAAGAGAGTAAATGTTCAACATGTTGAATCCATCCCATATCAAAGAAGGTAATATTGTGTTCAAGAGAGGTACTGCTCTCAAGAAATTCAGAAGAGTGATGATTGGAAGAGGATTTCTGCAAACATTTAGCAGTCAGCTTGGCGAACTCAACTCCAACAACATCTACACCTCACACCTACACACCCATTAGACACACTATCGTCGGACAATTGAGTACCTATAATTTGTTTATTTTTCAATAAACCCATTCCTGTATTTTTTTTTTTGATTTTTTTGAAAGGTTGTCATGTCAGGTGTCAAATTCAAGTCCATTGGACATCCAATCATCCCGGCTGATCACCAATCTCTTCTTCATTTTAAAAAATG